GCTCTCTCCACCCCCCACCCACCCACACCGGCTCCGAGCCGAGGGGCGAGCTGCTCACCGCTCGCCCCTCACCCCTCACCCCTCGCCGCTCTGCCTCCCCTCCTCGCCGCTCGCCTTCCAAATGGCGGTAGCGGCCTCCGCAGAGCATTCCGTGCGCATGCGCACGGAACGCTCTGACACTTTCGGGGGGATTTAAATATCCCCCCCCCGATATTTTTTTTAGTTTTTAGATTTTTGTGCACCCCTGGGGACTGCCCCAAGAGTGCACAAAACTCTCCCTGCCCCCCAGGTGGCCCCGGAGCGTGGATTTAGCGATCCGCACAGACGGGGCGACTTAGATATATAGATTATGGAATACCAGGAGGAATTATGCAGTTCTTTTTGCAAAAAGGATAAAAGGGAGCCTGGCTCAGCTCTGAAGTAGATCCTGAGCCAGTAGTGTGTCATTGATCCAGGCCTTGGTCTCAATCAAATTTTGGCCAACTTCAGAGCAGATTGTAAAGTAAGGCAACCATTTGGGAACACCCATTATTTGTCTAAGAAAGATTGCTTGGATATTCTCCACATCATAGTTAAGGGCAGTGAACCAAAGGGATTCCAAACAGGACCTGAGATAGAATCTTAGAGTTAAATATTCTGATTGCAGCAGGGACATACTGATTACCATTGGTAAAAAAGAAGGATCTAAGTTGGTTTAGAGAGATCCTCGCTTATAGTCTTACTTCTATGAGTTGCCCAACTGAGATTATAGTTGTAGGCCTTTTAGTTATTAATGTAAACATAGCCCCTCAAGTTAATAAAATTAGGCTACAGGGAATTTGTAGCAATCTTGAAAAGTATGTAACTAGTTTCCTACTGAATTTACCTGATGCCCATGTCAGTCTGGAATGGTAGAAACAAGCAAACATGTCCTCTTACATTGCTGGTTTTACCAGAACATGTATTACCTCAGTTCTATCTGAACATGCAGGTAGATCAAATGATTTTTATACTTCTTTTCTCCTTGCCAGCCATTTTAATGAAACTAACCTTAAGGTAGCCAGATGCTGCGCTCTGGGATGCTCAATGAGGCAGAAAAACTTGGTCTAGTATTTTAATAATTTTATTATTTCTATTAATTGTACATTTTCTGTACAGAATATCTATTTTATGCATTCAGTGTGTATTATGCATTGTTGATATTCTCGACTACTGATCTTGGATCGTAATAATAATAGTATTTCTTAAACGGGCATAATAACAGCTGCACGACTCAGTCTAAGGCCAGGCCAAATCTCCTCTTGCCTGCTCCCTGTTTCCTGTCCTACTATACAACATCTTCCAGTAAGCAATGATTCCCACTTTATTTATAACCATCAAAGATCACCACAGAATTCCTTCCTGTTTTCTGAGCAAAGATTACACAGAACTGTATGATCAGTCACCTGCCAGTGGTCCTGAGAAGGAGTCCGAGCTGCCAGTCTGGGATGAGAGGACGTAGTAATTATTTATCTGTGGATCTCTCAAAACACCTTTGATCATCTGCCTGGAAAACAATTAGGAGAGAGTGATAAGGCCAAGTGGGAAAATACGAACTTTGATCTTTTCAGGTGAAATTGGGAGAACTTCCTTGTCAAACTCTGCTCTGCTTAGTTTGCCATGATTGCAGGGGGGTGTCAGCAAGCTGCCATTATGTTTTCTGTGACCTCTGTGTACATATCTTTACCCTGTTGTACCCGGTTTGTTTCTACTATCCTGCTTCTGTGCTGGAATGCATAAGATAACTACTGGTGGATGTGTGGGGGAGAAGATGCTGTAATGCTTGCCTATTGCTATCTCATGAGAACTGCACCTGTGTTTTGTCTGATGTTCTGCCTGGTTCCCATGGACTGGGCGCGCAACCGTTTCATTAGCCCGCCAGCGGGAATATTATTCATTGGATATGTATCTGTTTGAATTTCCTTTATTATGCTCGCCCTAACTGTGTATCCCCAGTTCTAACAAAGAACGTGTTTGAGTATGTCTTCAACGCTTTGAAATAAATTTTGCTTTTCTTGAAAACGTGGATTTATTCTCGATGCTTGGGGATCCAACATATTGTTAGAACTCCCTTTCTCCTATCGTTCCGAATCTGGCAAGATCATGAGCGGAGCTGAGGGAGACCTACCGAAAACGGAGGGGGATTCAGGATCGGTCCCACACACCTCCGCTCCTTTGGTGACGGCAGCCTCGCTGGAGGGTGCCGTGGGGGGAACGATTCCCCGCCGGCCTGCACATCTGTCTTGGCCGCCTCCGACCCCTTCGCACTGGGGTCCGCGGAAGACTCAACAGCAGGATGACTGGACTATGTACAACACTCAAGGCACCCGTGAGGTGTACTCCCGTCGAGGGAGCGGATTACGTGAAAGTCTGTTTGACAAGGGATTGTTCCCAGAGCCGGGGGCTACCTCGGAGAAGGGGTGTGCTGAGCAAGACCTCGAGGAGTGGATGTTCGAGCCATCGGGGCCGCGAGGCCACGTAGAGGATTCGGAGGGAGCCGGGGGCTTCCAAACGGAAGGAGACTATGACCCACCCCCGGACTCCCACCCTCGAGATCCGATCCCTGAGGAAACCACCGGGGAACGACTGGAGGAACTGGAATACTCGGTGAGGGACCTGTTGAGGGCATTCCAGGATGTAATGGAAGCTCTGCCGGGGATGATGGACATTAGAATGGCTAATTTTCTTGATGCACACGCCGCGCAACAGCAAGTCGCCCCAGCACCGGGAGTTCCCGCGCCGCAGGTGCCTGCCCAGCCACCGGCCGGACCTCCGCAGCAAGTAGGACCTGCGCAACAGCCGATGCCGGGTCTGCCGCCGGGTCTGCCGCCACCGATGAGGCCAGTGCCAGCGGGACCACCGGTTGCTCCGGGTCTTCCTCTCGGGGGAGTTCCGGGGCAGCTGGGACCGTTGGTAAGGACTCCACGGCCCAGACCCAAGGATTTACTGGAGGCTACCTTTGACGGCAACCCAGAGGAACTCGCCTTCTTCACGGTGAGGGTGCACAAATTCGTAGAAGAGAGCCGACACCTCTTCCGAAATGAAGCTGCTCTCATTGATGTCATCTCGGCGAGACTGAAAGGAGACGCCGCCACATGGTATGTGGGACTGCACAATGACCGCGGTCCGGAACTTTTGAATTTGCGAGCATTCATGTGGGCGCTGCGGGCTCGGTTTGAGGATGTCAACGCGAGCCAAAGGGCCAAAGCATTTCTCCGCACCTATCGTCAGAACAAGAAGTCGGTTCGCGAATACACACTGGAATTCCACAAGCAGGCAGCAAAGCTCCGAGACTACCCCGATCACATTTTGGCTGAAATGTATCGATTGGGACTCAACGCGGACATCCGAGAAACGGTTTTGAAGACTGTTAATCCTATCTCCCTGATGGCTTGGACCCAGGAAGCTGAAAATGCAGAGGATCGGCTAAACACCATCAAGCTCGACCTGGCTGCTACGACCAACAGACCCGTCACTGCCAGCGCCTCCAGACCCAAGACACAACGCCTGTCGGAATCGGCTCGAGAACTACGCATGAAGATGGGGCTATGACTAAAGTGCGGGGAGAAGGGGCATTTCGCCGTGGATTGTGGCAGCCGTCAAGCTAAAGACAAGCCGCCTACTCCGAAGCCTA